CAGCATCTATAGAGGATCCATATGGGGTCCGTAGCAAATTTTATATCCAGAAGATAAACACAGGAAAAAAGACGGGACAGCGGTGTCGGTTTTAGACTATTACCGACCTCAGGATACAGTAGATAGCTTCACTAGTCAATGTGGCTCCCTCCTGAATGATTTGGAATGCCAAGTTAAAGTATTTTCAAATAAAGGCACATGTCTTTAAAAAATGATGATAGGCCCAATCAAATTGTAGATATCCTCAATCAAATTGTAAATATCCTCAATCAAATTGTAGATATCCTCAATCAAATTGTAGATATCCTCAATCAAATTGTAAATATCCTCAATCAAATTGTAGATATCCTCAATCAAATTGTAAATATCCTCAATCAAAATGTAGATATCCTCAATCAAATTGAAATAGCTTTCAATGAAATTGAACATTTCTTTACTTAATTTTACGTTTCTTCAATTATTTGAAGGTATGTACAATCATTTGAATACAGATCAATTTGGTGTGCTAAATATTTTACCTTCCTGATATATTTTACCATGAGTTCTAATTTCTGCCATTTTCTCATCGGTGCTCCTTTTTAATGTAAACGTATTGCAGCTAGATACGTTTTGTTGTAGACGTTTATATGTTTTAATGCTACGAGTTTTAATCATCGTTACAAGGACGATCATCGATGTATGACAGACGTATACGAGATAGAACGTTGTCACGTGACGGGTTGCTGCGACGCAGTGTCGTCTGCTACGCCTCTGTTGTCGTGATTTATTTTATTGTCCATGTTGTACGTTTATCAGACACGAGATACGTTATATATGACATCACATTGATGTACATTATTGCGGAACAATTTGATACCAGAAACTTAAGATTCCATATCGTCCTCTGTCGTCCGGTAGTTACTGTCCATTTAAATATGAAACCTGACATTGTTATTCAGACTGAGACGAAATGAGAAATAAAATAAATTGGATACGCTTTTATATCTATTCAGCAAAGGTTTATATGGGATATCTCACAAAATGCTCCATATGTGGAAAACGTCATGAAAATATTCAACCGTAAACGAAATAAAAAGTGACGATCAAAGAAGACCTACTATAATTTGATGTATGATATAGTTTTGACATCAAGCCGTTATGAGGGTTATGTCACCACCACAAAGTCAGTTCCAGAGGCCTGACAGAAAGTCTGCGTGGTGTTGTGTACATACATGAAAATATGATCCTTCCACAAACGAGATTTTATAAAATTATACATATGTTACGAGAAAGACTAGATGTCGACACGACTCCTATTAATCATCGACGTGCAGGTTTAACTCTCAAACTTTAACAGTAGGTTTGGTTGACATTGAGAGATGTTCGGCATCTGACCGCTTTAATGGGAGTGGTTTCATACGTCTTCCTCTTTCGATTCGATTTCTCATCAGAGCTTGGAAGACAGAAGGAGATTTCAATTAAACTTTACTAGCCTATAGTAATGTTTTAATATGCCTATAGTTTATCCACACTATCCGTAACCATTTCGTTAAATTGACTATATCCCCGTTTTTTCCCTGTATAGCCCTCAATAGGTTTTCGAAAATTACAGTTGGCGGTATAAAAAACAGTTAAAGAACGACAGATTTAAGGGATGTAGCCAAATTCTTGTCATCTGTGACCAGGCTTTTTTTCTCTCGTCTTCGCCTCGTGAAAAGTATTGGTGTCGGGGAACCAGAAACTTGCCAAATCCCTCAAGACCGTGTGTTAGCTCTTATACAAACAAATCCCTCAAGACCGTGTTTAAGCTCGTATGCAAACACATTCCTTTGGCTGGTTGAAAGCCGAAAAATATTTATAACCAAAATTCTGGGTGGGGTACAGAGGATGGAAATATGAATAAATGACGGCAAAATTTGGACCTTGTGTAGAATATAATGCGGTGAAATTGATTTCTTGTTACTTATATTGACAATACCTGTGCATTACGGGATTGTATTGGCTTTATAATGAGTCGGTTGAAGCATATAGGTAAAATACACTTTTGGGAAAGTCAAGTATTCGAAGTTCTTTTTTGTACGTTAAAAAAACCCCTTATCCTGAGAGGGACCAGTATATTACTGATGACTTCCCTTCAGTCAAGTTATATCGTCCTTCCTGCCACCAGCACAAACAACTTTATTGGTACAAACTCATGATTTATGTTTGATTTCCAAACCCAAACGTCCGATCATATACTGCATTCAGTAAACAATGAAATGGAAAATATTACAAGTATAGTAATAAAGCAAAATTAGGGTCTATTCCTAGAAGTACGATATGGGATGTTTCTTTTCCCGATCTCAACTGCAGGCCTTGGTTTCGGATGTAGAGAAGTAATTGTTTTAGCGAACCAGATAGTAAGGACTCTGTAGAGTCTTCATTGTCATATCAAGTTAATACACCGTTGGAATAAATGTCAATTTCCCGGTATGGAAATTTTCAATAATCGTGAAGATAAGTGCGGAAAGATTAAATCAGTATATGGCGAACAGCTTGATGTGAGAGGATGGCAGGGCGGACTGAGATAGACCGTCTTAGGGGGAATCATACTCTGCAACGTCTATTGTTCAATAGAAACAAAAAAGTAGATTAAAATTTGCAAAAGTGCAAAATCTCCATTTCGACTGAGCTATAATTTAGGAAACTGAAACAGTTGTTTTGAGGAAGTAAGTTGATACACAGATACTTCCATGTGGATTGTCTACTAGAGTCGACACAGATATACCTGTAGGACCCGTACAGGAGTGGATATAGAGAGAATAATACACGCCTTTTTCCATATCACACCCAGTATCAACCCGAGACTGCAATATCAGCCCACTGTTTATTACATACTTACTAATAAAAACTACTATCTTATAATTTTTTATTTTTTTTGAAATATTGAAAAAATATTTGTTTTTCCAAAAGGGGTGGGTTTTGCGGGCTGATACGGGTCTTGGGGTGTGATACGGCGGGGTCTGATATGGGTTGGCGGGTGTGATAAGTCGAGGGCTGATATGGGTAAGAGCAATTTTGTCGTATCACATATACAAAAAACCCGTATTTATTAGTAGGTATGTAATAAATTCCAATACTCACTAGCGATATATAGTAAGGAAGCACATATGTAATATTCAGTAAGTCAATTTCACCATGCCATATCTAGGGGTGCAGTCAACATAAGCGAGCGTAGCCCCTTAAATGTCTAGAGTTAGTCAATGAAGAAACCAAATGGCAACTTCGTCCATATAAGACTCATCATTGGTACTTTAGGTCAGAAACATAAACATACCTACAAACCCTTGGCTACGTCTAGTATCAGATAGGGTAGTTTGGGGACTTGTTGTTTTACCATGTCTCTTCCTCTTCTTTTGTTTTTCTCTACTTCCGCCGTGAACTTTTCCACCAGTTTTCTCGTAAACTACAGGTCTGATTCCAATGCAAGTTTGCTTAAGTATTAATAGATATGCTAGGATGAGAAAGAAACTCTATTTTGCAGCTTTGTGATTGGTCGTACTTTAGCACATATTGACCAACTTCACTTAGGGGTACAATGCCGGTACGAACAGTATAGTACAGTGACACTAATTAACACCTTCCACGACTGTTTGGGTAGTATTGGGGACTTTTGAAACAGCCACCGTTACAATTAGAACTTGCTCAGTTTCAGATTGTCGTGATAAGTGGACATTACTCCTGTACCCATCTTCGATATCCAGGGTTACACTCACTTTCGCTCTCTACACCCCTAGAATATGTCATAGCAAAATTGAAGGCTCGATGTGCAATACCTTGTGGATGAGAGGAGAAGATTAGTTTGGTCCTTTGATGTACATCAACAGAATCTCGCGGTCGCATAACGAAAAAAATGACAGGCTTTGAATTAAGGCGTCGCTCCTTTGTAATCTTCAAAGGACAAGTATCAGCCTAGAGATTGGTCATTTTATTTTACCCGACAACAATCAAATAGCTAGCCGCGTGCCTTCATTTTTGCTATGACATATTCCAGGGGTGAAGAGAGCGAAAGTGAGCGTAACCCCTGGATACTGAGGATGCCCTGCACCCTGTAATGGATTTGTCACTGAGTATGTATCAATCGTACACTGTTATGGTGCAATACATACACACGTTTTGTAATAACAGGTCCTTGTTTGTCCTTATAACTGAAATTAAATCTGAAGATCATAGACATTATACGCGCGATTCCTATTTATTCCTGAAGCAGTCTTTAGAAAGGGGGAGAGTAAGTTCGCTAACAGTATCAATTAGCAATACTAAATTGCCTCGGGTTTTAGCTATGATGTGAACAAGTATATGATTGCCTTGTTCTATGATATCAAAATTACTTAAGTAAGTATAAAATAATCAATAAGGTTTGAATCTAACTGAATCAATAAGACGACTTTGAGGACTTGTACGGGACCCTGTTCTATTGTATTGAGCTGTTATATCAGGAATGGTCATTTAAAACAAATGGATGACGGAGTTCTCCACAACACGGCTGTTACAGGAATAATATATTCAACTGTCTTACAAAAAGGTCAAAAAGTCTTTTTTACTTATGAGAACGTTTCCAGATATAGGACTTACATAAAAATAACTTCATTAAGTAACAACTATGTTGAAAAACCAACAGGTACAAATATATGTGCGATGCGAAACCAAAATGGCGTGCATTATTTCACCAACACATCCATATTGTAAGAGCGAGCAAGCAGTGGTGTTCTTCTCTCATCTGGAATTCTCACTATTACGGTCAGTAATATTCATCAAAACGTAATGCAAATGACCACGCAATATCTATAACAACTTCTATTTAAATTTGAAGAACTTTTAATTATTTTTTACAAAACTCCTGTCGAGACCCAAACTACTAGAATCCAGCTAGTGTTTCTAAACCCTCTTCTCCACGGATTATGGAAGAACATTGCATACATTTACATATGTATTGTAAAAGAGAAGACGGCATTTTATTGTTTCAATTTGTTTGTTTTCAGTTTCCCCGGGTACTTAAAGGGTTCCAAGTCCGTGACGTTCGTCCCTTGCCGAGGGCGTGTCCTGGTATGATGTCCAGGAAGGCTACACGCGACCGTAAGTCGTCTTGCATGCTCAAGGAAACAGTTCCTCTACAAAATTTTCCTGGGCTGAATAAAATACGTACATAAATCCGACTGTTATTAATTGATATATCTGTGATGCATACAGGGTAACACATGTTATAATGCTTTACTTCCGGGCCTTGCATGATCCCACGTGACAGGGGATCGTAGATAGCCTTATTGAATATTGTATCTTTGATCTAACAGGGTTTTATTGCCCGTACGTGATGCACGTACCGCGGGTGGCCATAAAATGCTGCATATCGATACAGCCTCGTGTTCAATACAAGTCACATATGTAAAAACTACGACATTCACAGGCATGTTCATCTTTCCACTCATTTTAATCTCTTCCCGAACATTCACAGTAAATTCGGTCATGCTAATGTATTTTCACGTTTCCATTTGAAAATGTGTTGGTATCTTGTATTGCAAGATATTTTTTTTATACTATATCTGTTTTGATAGGCACGCAACTTAGCGCGAAATGCACGTCCATATAGATAGTCGTGTAGGCCATATCTATAATATATGAGCAATTTGTTTTATCCTTTATTGAAAATGTAAAATAATTTTATTGAATATTTAAAGTTCTCGATTATGTCACTCATGAAGATACATGAGTTTCGCCATATATGTTTTCAGCCCTACCCATGCAGGCTCAGCAGATACTGCAATACGACAAAGACAGCGACTTCCGGTTTTATCAGAGTTTATCACAATGCTCTGATGACGTCATTGTGGCGTCCTTTACACGGTAGATAAGATGTTGGGTGTTACTGGTGGTTCAAGACACACTGTCATATATCAAACTCCACTTCACACGTAGAATTTCACAGTCAACCCGCCACTTTAAACCATGTTTAATCTCTCAAAAACGGCTAAACTAGGCATATTTAATTACTGTTTATTTCATAAAATGATTACATTATTACTAAACAAAATTAATATCACATTATCTATTTTTTACTTTGGGGTACGAGTAAAGACTGATTCACTTTGTCTAACGTCTTAGGTACTTTAAGATACCTTACTTGATTTTACAGTAATATAGTGATATAAACCTCTATTTTAGATAAATGATCACTTCAGGTTTCTGTAGGGGCTTATATACATTGTATTTCATTTGTTTAATGTGACTGCAAAGACTCTGGGGTTTATATACATATGTCTATGCTTTATTAATATATTGGTTGTTTTATTTGATTAAAGGATAAATACGAAAGGGTTATACTTTACAATTCAGACATAAGAATAGTAATTACACCAAGGATATGAAAGACAGCACCAAGTCAGATAATGTAACCAGGCAACCAATTCAGGATATAATTTAAACTTACGTCCACAGTTGATTGCTGCTAATTGTTTAGTTCCATGTCAAAATATAATAATATATGCATGTAAGTCTATCTTTTGTAAATGATGGACTATTTTAATACGTCAAACGAGATATAAAAGAGAAATATTTAATTTATTGTCAATTGAGCTCGTGACTTGTGTCTTAGGCTGCTTTTTCATACAGGGGGCTTTGTGCTACAGAAGTGTAACCATTTTATTAACGATAGAGCATGTGTCACTATCTATAAAGAAAACTCAAGGAATGTTTTTCACATATATATCTGGGATGGTCACAGTTATACCTGGGATGGTCACAGTTATACCTGAGATGGTCACAGTTATACCTGAGATGATCGCAGTTATATCTGGAATGGTCACAGTTATACCTGGGATGGTCACAGTTATATATGAGATGGTCACAGCTATACCTGAGATGGTCATAGCTTTACCTGAGATGGCCACAGCTATATCTGAGATGATCACAGTTATACCTGAGATGGTCACAGCTTTACCTGAGATGGCCACAGCTATATCTGAGATGATCACATTTATACCTGAGATGGCCACAGCTATATCTGAGATGATCACATTTATACCTGAGATGGCCACAGCTATATCTGAGATGATCACAGTTATACCCGAGATGGTAACACTTATACCTGATATGATCACATTTATACCTGAGATGGTCACAGTTATATATGAGATGGTCACAGTAATACCCGAGATGGTACTCAAAATTGAAAAAGAGAACTGATGTGATACATATCGTTTTAGTCTTGATTTAATTTATCCAGTAAGAAAAACTGATTACGATACATTTGTTTTTTTGAAGATGGATCGGTCTTCTAGAATAGCGAGATAGACCATGATAGTTAACGTATGCATAGGAGGTTGGTGTATTACTGTCGGAGAGGTCGTGAAGTCGGCAGATTTTCTTCATATAAGACAAGAGGTAAGTAGGATATTCTAATGACAAAAGATTATTACTTTAATCGAAAACATCATCGATAGACAGGAAGGTAAAAATTTGTTTATAATATAAAAACGTATGTGTTAAAAAGTTAGAATGTATGTTGTGAGTAGTTCATTTTTCGAGTATATTGATTGGGAGAGTAGAGCTTGTTTTTCTTAATATGTGCATTTGAGCAATAATCCACATAGCCAGAGTTTTCTACCAGAGATACCGCAAGCTACGCTAATGAAAGTTTACAGTCGTCAATATTATGGATATAAGCCGAAAACTGTCTAATAAGTGAGAGAAAGGACCCGAGTTCTGTTTTCTCTCTCACTTATTTGACAGTTTGAGGCTTGTATCTAACTTAGAACATAGTCCCCTCTCTGTGCCTCCAGTGCTGATTCGCTATTGGGGTTCACTGACCCATTTAACTTATTGGACAGTATAAGGTGAACCTATTGTCACTCTCGTGCAACGCTCATGCATGATTTTGGAGTCTTTGAAGTGAACGGTGTTCTGACACCGAGGAGGTTATTGTTATAACTCAGTCAAACTTTTTGACGCTTGAGAAACAAGTTTTATTTGACGGTGTTTGAGTGACATTTCGGAAAAGGATGAAGAAAATTAGGGGCCAAATTTTACGATTAAAGCAACATTTTCCGGCCCTACCTGAAAAGGGGAAATGTACACAAGAAGACACAGTATAGCTGTTCTGATTGCATTGAATTCAACAGGAATATACACCGCTGGTACACTACTATAGCTGTTTTGATTGCATTGAATTCAACAGGTATATACACCGCTGGTACAGTACCATAGCTGTTTTGATTGCATTGAATTCAACAGGTATGTACACCGCTGGTACAGTACCATAGCTGTTGCGATTTGAATGTATTGAATTCAAAGGATTTAAACACCGCCGGTACAGTACTCTAGTAGTTGATTTTAGAATAATTCCACGGGGTAGCTGTTGAAATTTGAATGTGTTAAATTCCATGGATATATACACTGTTGGTACAGTGCTCTAGCTATTGTATTTTTAATGTGTTGAATTCCATGGATATATACACTGTTGGTACAATGCTCTAGCTATTGTATTTTTAATGTGTTGAATTCCATGGATATAAGGATAGTACACCACTGGTATTCCATATATTGATCTAATATTATACTAAAAAAAACATGTGTTTGTTATTTTTGTTTTACCTATATCGCTGAATTACTCCAATTTAACTCCGCCCATCTCTTCTCTAGAATGTGATGTCACAATTATCTAATAAATAACCTGTAGCCGTGTGATAAGTTGTCACTTACAAGATGGCATGCCAACTTATTACACAGCTAATGGTTACTTATTGTACAGCCATAGGTGATACCTCAACACCCTACTGGACATAATACAAACAACACAATGGATGACATCAAACTTATGATGCATACTGTTTCAGTGTCTGCCACGATAACAGTCTTACTCACTATGTTTTAGTTCATTAGTGACCCACATACTTTACCGGTTCTGACGGACGACATCATGACGGGTGCCATATGTGGTGCAGGAAGCTTTAACTGTTCCATAGCATTGACAGTCACATCCGGGTCTTGGTATTGGTTCGTGCTGTATAATCCTTTGTTTTAGTAGCGAAATATCCATAGATATGTCGGAATAATGACGAATATGACTTTTGCATAAATAGAGTATTTTACTGTGTTTTATTTGCTAAACATTTGTGCAAAAATCGTTTCGACACTGTGCCCATCCGCAGCTCATGATGTAAGAAGGGAAATTCTGATGAACATTGTAATGTGATACTGTTAAGTTGTGCTTGACCACTGCACATTAAACATGTAGATCAAACAATGTACGTATTAAAGGTGTCGCAAGCTATGATTGAGTATAAAGTTAAACAGTCATAGCTTGTCAAAGGGACCAGTCGGACTTGAAACGTTCGACACGTTTAATACGTGCATTGATAGTGTAGAAAGTAGGACTTTGATATTATATAGATGGTCGCCTTCCTAAAATGTCTATACAGAAATGACTGAACTTTCAGCAATGTTGTCGCTTCGTTCAATAATCCATAAGAACAAAACTAATCTTTTCATCTTACGCGGTCTATTTGTTATAGTCGATTCCCTTTTTCGATTTTTCTCTATTTCTTCAATATAAACAAAACACCGGTCCATATCTAGCAGCTGCCGAAACATGCTTCTGCGATTTTTGAGGACGCATCATGAAGGTTGCGGCATATGGTGGAAGAAACACAAAACGCTTACCCCTCCGGAACATCTTATTCCACGTTAAGTTTGTGTTGGGGATTCATCATGTCTTTCCCACTTAACGTTTGTTCGATTCCAGTGGCCGTACTCATGGAACCGTTCTTAAAGTCAAGCGTTGAGTCTGTGCTCCAACCAACTCACTTGTAACTTGCATAAAACCTATGACACTATCAACTGGTCAAGTTTAGCATTGAAAACGATATTCGACTATAAGTCCCTACAAAAGTCTACCCAATAAATGACGAAATGTGAATATTTTATTACAAATCACCAGAACACAAAACTGTGCCACAGCAAAGAATCTCAAGTTGAGCATAAGAACGGTTTCATGAATACGAACCCTGTTGTCCTTTTGGCCTTTGTGGCCTGCGTTTTATTGTATTTAGCTTCTGTCACCTTGTGGTTTGCGCTGAGGTATAGTCATATTGTGATATATTTTGATTGTTTCCTTGTGTTTTTGCATTGTGGTATCCACTGAGTATATATGATAGGACAAGGAATAATTTTTATTCTAACGTAATTGTAACATTTATATATAAAAACGAAATCCTCTAGGTAACTCGTTTAACGAACGCTGAAATTTACAATTAATGCATATTCTAATTTGCACTTTAGATTTAACAATTAAAGCAATATTCCCATTCTCCCAAGAATGTTAAAATAAAGTCCTCACAAAAACATGATAACAATCCTGTTTGATAACGAAAAAATACAATTTTGCTTAAAGTTCAAACATTTGATACGATGCATTGTACACCATATTGATTATTATAAAAAAAATACTTTGAAATTATATATTTTGTAACAGTCTTCCTTTCTCACTAATCAGAGATATTCTAAATTGATGCCGGTATATGACCTCATAGATTCCAGTCTGTTAGGTCTATCATTGTTGGATATTTACGGCTCAAGAAGTGATGAAAGAGGATAGACCTCAAATTTGAGATCGGCTCGTTTTGATTTCTTATCATGACAAACACTTAAACTATTACGGCAATTTTTTTAAACGAACAGGGATTCCTATCGCTCCGGTATGTTTTTATTACATGATATGATTTGGGTTCGTTTTCGTTCTTGAAATTCTGCTTTAACTGCAGCGAAAATTGATATAACTTAATATCATTAATATTTAAGTACAATGTGAGATAGCATTGTGCTAGTATTAGTATGATTTTGGGAAAACAATGGTACCACGACAACAGTTAAACAAGAGTTTAAATAAGTCTCGGAAGGGCAATACCGTTCTCCACTGTCAAATGGTGAAGGGACACTCAGATTCAGGGGAGATAACCCGTGACAACACAAGATCAGGGGCAGATAACCACTGACAACTCAATAAAAATAAAATTCAAAATTGACCATAAATATGGTAATAAAAGCACTGTACGAGGAAGCTCGGATTTATCGCCTCTCGCCAGTCACATAAAACAAAAGCAGCATTCCGACATCATTAGCCGATAAGTTGCTATCGCCTAGTCTCAATCACCGGTGAACCGTTAACGACACAGCTCTACCCAATACACTCAATTAGGAGCCGAATTTCATTTAGAACTATGAAATAATTTTATTACCATTCTTTCTTATCACTGATGGAGGAGAATAGCGGAGTTTTCATATCGTATCCCAATGCTAATAAACGTGTAAGGTAATCACCGAGATCGGTTAGTGGGGAGGACAGTGATGGCGGCGGTGACTAAGAAACCGACACGTCCAATTATACAGCTCCAAAACCACTCACAATCTTACAGCATTTGTATCTCTAACATCAAAACAAAAATAATTTAATATAATTATTTTCAGTGGAAAATTTTCAAAGTCTAAAATCGCCGCTTCCTAAAAACGTGAGTTCTGTGGTCAATTAATGGGCGTTAATGTTCGTAGTTTGGGCTGACGAAGATTGCTGGTGCCATTCAGCGGTAACACGTACTTCCGATGAAACACTGTGGTAAAAGTAATACGATTTTACTCAAATGGAGAATTCGATTTCTTATATCTGGTTTAATATAGGGATATTTTTGTTGTCTTAAGAATGGGTTTTCATTGATATCAGTGTAACTGTTACGATTTGTGTTCAAATAATATATATGTGTTTTTTTTGTCTTCTTTCATTCTTAGAATTGTTCTTGCTTTATGTGCTGTTTAAGTGTAATTCTTTCTCGGTATTTGCTTTTGTGGTTTGATCCTCTGAGTTTCCCCATGCTGTCTTATTATGACGTTTTTCGTTCTGAGGTTAAATCCCCAGCGTTTCTCTTTATTTCATCCCCTGCTCGTTATGGCGTTTCATCCTCCAGCTTTAATTCCGTTTCGTCTTAGAGTATTCAATTCTGATGTTTCCTCTCCGGATATTTACGTTGATTAATCTTTTAAAATAAACATGTATTCTCCTCCTTTTAGAATAAAGAAACAACATTTTAAGCGAGGCTAATATGTTGCCCCGATGATATTAATACTTTTCTATCTTTATTTTTTTTAGATGTTTACTCAAAATGTTGAACCCTTATTGACCTATTTAATCAAGCTATATTTTTTTGGTATTCTTTTATTTTACATTAATGTGTTGTTGTTTAAGTGTAATGCTTCCGTGGTATCTGTAGTTGTAGTTTGGTCATCTGAGTTTCCCCTTAGTGTCTCATTCTGACGGTTGTCGTTCTGAGGTTAAAATCCCAGCGTTTTTCTATATTTTATCCCCTGCTCGTTATGGCGTTTTTTCCTATAGTTAA